CTTGTTTACCTGTCCTTGTTTGTCTACCCTCCCTCATACTGTAAAGCGTCTTTGAGTTGTGAAAAGCGCTATATAAATAAAATGCATTATTATTATTATTATTATTATTATTATTCTTCTGGACGTGTTTCATTGTGGTGATATTGAGGGTAGTCAATCGTTTTGTTGACAAGACAGTAGTGACGGTCATCTTGGTGACGTGTGTTGTTGTGCGAGACCAGAGATGTAGTTCATTGAGTGTTTCACACAAACAAATGTGTTACTTCACAGTTTTACGACACATTTATTTCTTTTTGACTTGCAAAATGATCTTTTAAATTGACAAACATCATATGTGTAATTCGTGGCACAACTCAAACGGGATCGAAAGATAATCTTTCTCTCTCCATTGACTTCAATACATAATTTTTTCGAAATAAGGTCCCATGGAGGTCCCCCGAAAGGGGAGGGACTTCGCCACTCTATACTAGATAAGTGTGCACACTCATTATATACACTACACATTTTTCTTGGATTTGTTAACACTATAGTCCCTAATATATTTGTAGAAAGGCAGGAAATGGAATTAAATTGAGAAAATGTTTCATTGCGGAGGACCCCCTGTTTTGTGTCCCCCCCCACTTCTCAAACCAAAGTTACACCCTTGTGTGCACATACATTATATATGTCGAAGCACTCTGGGCCACAATATGCTTATGAACACTATTATATGTAAGGATTTTAAGGTAGTCATTGCTTAATTACTTATTACTCATTTTAGCCACCTTTTAGAATAGAATAGAATATCTTTATTGTCATCACACATCAGTGTAACGAAATTCAGTTCAATCAGGAGAGACGTTGATGTATGAAATACATATTTATTACCGGGACACATAATATGAATGTAATAATGATTGCCAGAATTATAACAGGTGAATGGAATGGTGTTTGGCGATTAGGCCCCAGTTAGCAGGATAATCATTCAGGAGGGGGAAGAACCGCTCCGATGAAACCCCCCGGGGTCTAGACACTGGTGGTGGTGATAAGTAGGTGGGACTGGTCTGAAGGGAGAAGGTTTAGCTTGGCCCTGTTGGAGACGGGAGGCGAAAGGGGTGGAGGAGGGTTGCGTATTGTCACCTTGTTCCGATTAACCCAGCTTCCCAAATGTCTTTCTTTTTGGTGTCTATATACGCCGGGATCCGGAGTCATGGATGATCCTGCGGTCCTGTGTCCTGCATTGCGAGCCCTGGATCTTGAGTCGTGGCTGTGGTCCTGGATCATAAGTCCTGGATGGATATCCTCGTGGATTCATCTTCCTATTATACACACATGCATTTCCAAACATTTGGACTACCTATGTTGTAAATGTATTATCTTTTCAATTTACACACGGCATCTATTGCACGTCTGTCCGTCCTGGGAGAGGGATCCCTCCTCTGTTGCTCTCCCTGAGGTTTCTCCCATTTTTCCCTTTAAACTGCGGGTTTTCTCTGGAAGTTTTTCCTTGTACGATGTGAGGGTCTAAGGACAGAGGGTCTAAGGACAGAGGGTGTCGTATTGTCATACTGATATTCTGTACAAACTGTGAAGACCACTGAGACAAATGTAACATTTGTGATATTGGGCTATATAAATAAACATTGATTGATCGATTGATTGAAATGACAGCTGACAAGAGGGAAGAGCAGATTTAAAGGGATTAGCGGGTGCAACGATATAGGCTTGTGAGAATGGAGAGAGGAGTGATTGGTTAGCTGGGGAGTGACACCCCGATCACTTAATGAGGGAGAAGAGAGTATTGAAATGACATGTAATATGAATGAAGAGCTTGGTCTTCCTGATTGAACTTGCGCTGAGCTTTCATTTGGCATCTCTCACTGCAGTACATAAATAAGAACACATCCATAAAGGCAGTGATAAAGCAGAGATAGTAGCAATAATCAGGGTCATCACTTAAATGCACTTTATCAGAATGTTAAAATACATTTTTAAAGATTATTTAATAAAGAAAAGCTACAATGTTTAAATATAAATAGTTACTAAAAATATCAGTTTGATACTTAATAAATATACCACATAAATAACATATGGTATTTTTGGCTGCAGTCTTTGATGGGAGGTAGTGTGTTTGTATGTGTGCATGTTCAAAGTTATAGTGAGTTTAGTGGTTGGACAGGGATGGGAGTGATGGAGGCCACAGCTCTGGGAAAGAAGCTGTTCTTCAGTCTGTTGGTGCATGATTGTATTGACCTGAACCGTCTGCCGGACGGCAGCGGTTCGAACAGTGAGTGGCCGGGGTGTGTGATGTCTCTGATGATACTTTTAGTTAATTAAGCCATTGTAATATGGATACTCATTTTTTGTTGTTGTTTCAAATGTTTGTTATGTTGACCCATCACTCGTACCTGTTTTGTTTAATTTTATTTCTCAATAATCAAAGTCCTAAAATGTGAATTTGGGACTCACATAAAAAGTAATAATTATTTAGAACCTAAAGTTAAGCTTTGAGGCATTCAGGTAAGCTACTCTTTGTTCCTCTGAACGTTCTATTATTCCTGACCTTTCAGAAGCAGAAATCGTTCTGCAGGAAAGTGACTCTGCTGATTGAATATGTGAGGGGGGGGGGGGGGGGGGGGGGGGTGACACAGCTAATGTCTGTGGTGTTAGAAACGAGACTTCTCAAACCAACACATTGTTGGTTTCATCAGCTTTTCTGATTATTGAAGAAGTAAAAACAACAACATCGGTCTCTTTTAAATGCAAAAAATCTAATATCAAACTACTACTATTCAGAATATTATCTAACACTGGTACTTGATGGTTTTTGCTGCTGTGTTATAGACACTTGGGACACAAAGTAATAATTTTTAAAAATAATAATAATAGTAATCACGTTTTACAAAGCCAGCTTTGTAAAACCTACACAGAATATCCTGGGATCAAACAGTATTGTAAAGTTTAAAATATAATCTATCCACCAGTTAAACTTTCATGACACTGAGGACAACAGAATTGTACTTGTATGCCTCTGTAAATGCCCGTATAACTTACTTCATATTGATCTGATGTGCCTGTGGGTCGTTCCTTCATAAAGAGCAAAACAAATGTATCTTTTAATGTTAAGAACGTCAAGAAATCCCTATAAAAACAATATGTACCAGGTTTATCCATGCATGTGTTATGGTTTCACACTCTCCACCAGGGGCGGACTGACCATTGGGAATACCGGGAGTTTTCCCGGTGGGCCGGTGCTGTGCGTGGGCCGGAGGGCAGGTCGGATTTTTTTGCCTAAATCCTACCGGCCCACATTTGTGTTTTCCGGCCACTCCCTGGGAGTGGGGTGTAGGGGGGCGCTGGCTGACGCTGGCTGGCGCTGGCTGGCGCTGGCTGGCGCTGGATGGCGCTGGCTGGCGCTGGCTGGCGCTGGCTGACGCTGGCTGGCGCTGGCTGACGCTGGCTGGCGCTGGCTGACGCTGGCTGGCGCTGGCTGGCGCTGGCTGGCGCTGGCTGACGCTGGCTGGCGCTGGATGGCGCTGGATGGCGCTGGCTGACGCTGGCTGGCGCTGGATGGCGCTGGCTGGCGCTGGCTGGCGCTGGATGGCGCTGGATGGCGCTGGCTGGCGCTGGCTGGCGCTGGCTGGCGCTGGCTGGCGCTGGCTGGCGCTGGCTGGCGCTGGCCCGTTTTGATAGGCTACCTATGTTCTATCTATCAGATAGTTTCACTTTCACATATCAGTGATATCACAATACCCACCACCCCCCCCTTTCCCTTCCATCAGCAGTGTTGCCAGATGGGCGGTTTTCCAGCCCAATTGGGCTGGTTTGGGTTGCATTGGGCTGGTAAAATTGGGCTGGTGGACAGAATTTGGGCCGGCCGGCCGGCCGATACATGCCGCGCATTAAGTGGGTCTGTCTGTCAATTAATCCGCGGGCCACTTTGTCCCCCCAGTCCGCCCCTGCTCATGTCAATACTAACATGTTCAAACTGCTGAGGCCCCTGTTCATAGCAATGTGGGACATGTTACTGCATGTAAGGAGGGGCAATGATAAACTATACTTATTATAATAACAAATCCAATTGATAAAGTATATCAAAATTAAAAAAAAATTGTAATAACTGCATTGTGAATATTTTGAACAATAAACCACTCTTGTTGCAAGGGACCTGCGGGTTAAGGAATATGTTTTGCTTGTACATTTGGTCCATACTAAATGTAAAACAATCATCAAAACATGTTAGCCAGAGAAATTGTTGTTCGGTGCCTTGCTCAAGGGCACCACGGCAGGGCAGGAGGTGAACTGGGACCCCTCCAGGTAGCAGTCCACGACACTCCATATGGTCGGGGACTTGAACCAGCGACCCTACGGCTCACAGTCCAAGCCCTACTGACTGAGCCACTGCCGGACATGTGACTGGTATTGTAATCATTATTGGCTATACGACTACAATATTCTGTGAAAACATGAAATGTGAAATGATGGGATGGAAAAGCAGTGACAGCATGGAAACAGACCTTTATACAAATGACCATGACATGTAGCAACACCACCCCCCTGGCCCATAGTGTAATATGAAGGTAATACAAATCAGTGTTATGTTCGGATGGGATTTTAAAACATGTTGCATCACTGTGATGAAGTACCTTATATTCTAAATATGCCAAAGACACCTCGTTAAAACCCTTACTTAGTGGGAGCAACATTAAATGGATAAACACAACTTCGTTTTTTATGTAAAGTAACATGAGTTTGAGTAAACAGTTTGGAGTCTTATATGTTTTACTATCCTCAGTGTTATCATTCAACATGTGTAGTAACTGTACTCATGTTCTTATTATGTTAACTTGATGTTGATATGGTGAGCTGCAGCTGAGTGGACGACATGTGGAAGTTTACATCAGGAGGGAAACCTTTGTCCACGAGCTGGCTTAAAGCCTATTGGTTCGGTGTTGTCATGGAGACAACGGGCCGAGGGGAGGTTCAACTGGAATAAAGGCCAACGAGTGTTTATGATGGCTCACAGCGAGATGTTCCACTGTGTCCCGCAGTGACCGCGGATGAGGAGTGGATGTGCGCGCGGCCCCTGAGGATGGAGGTGGAGGTGGAGAGCTGCTGGCTGCTGCTGCTGCTCTGCTGCATGGCGCTCCACAGCGAGGCCATCGAGACGGGTAAGCCTAGAGACCCTCACGTCTGATCGTGTTTAAGTGACGCACTTCTCATGGGCACGATGACTTGAGGTCCGTGCGTAACGACCTGATGGCGCTCAGCGTGGAGAAGAGCTGTTGTTATAGTAGCCTATACTTGTATAATAATAGTGGCTGTAGTGAAAGTTTGCGTTCTTCTGTTTCTTTAGCAAAAGTTTAAAAAGGGAAAAGTTAGTGAATGTTGTTACATTTGAAAATGTAGATATTCCTATAGCCCACTGAAATATTATAGCACCCACCCACATATAGTAGGCTATATGCTCGTAAACGTATAGGCTATGCATAGTAAGCTATACATCAAATGCGTGTTCCCAGATAAGGTTAAGGTTCGTTTATTTATATAGCACATTTAAGACACAAAGGCAATTTAAACTGCTTTACGACAATAACACATAACAATTAAAAAATAAAATGAATTGAACAAAAAGACAATTCATAAAAGAGACAACAATGAGTTAAAAAGAGACATTGTTAATACCATAATGCTGCAAGGAATGTTGAAGTGCAATGTTACAAAATAGTTCAAAGACCTCTGGAGAAGCAGCATTAAAGAGCAGGTTTTCAGCATAACAACTCAACTAATGCCGTTTCATGCCATACATCCGACTACGCTTCTTTTTCTGATGACGATGTTTTCATGACAGGTGAGTTCTGACCTCTTTGCAATCCGAGTCACATTATTGTTTTGGTATAGTTCAGTTTAAATGCAGATTTAGAAGTTTTCCCAGCAATAGAACTCCAACAACAATAGACTCCTGAAACGTTTCTGATTAGTGGTACATAATCTGAAACATGCAGGACCATAAGGTCCTTTACTAACCATGTTTTTATTCATTTGTTTGATTTAAAAAAATCAATCCTCATTATATTATATATATTATGTCATTATATTATGTTACTCTGGCTAGGACGAAAGGATGTTGAAGTTATAAGTGATATGATTTATGAGTACGTTGTACACCAATAGAGATAATAGACATGTGTCATCCATCACAGAATTCCACTTGTGTTTATAGAGGTAGTTCACACACAGACAATATTGCAAATCAGTGAGCAGTGTTATGTTCAGATGGGATTTTAAACATGTTGCATCACTGTGATGAAGTCTCTTATTTTCTAAATATGCCAAAGACAAATCGGTAAAGCCCTTTCTTAACGGAAGCGTCATTAAGAATAGGTGCCAGGTGTCACAGATTAACAGAGAGCACCACAGAGATCATAGCACAAATATTACTGTCTTTTCCCCTGACAATATTGATATAAAATTGCATATGATATGATAACAGATTTGTTTTCAGACCAGTTTATCTTGTTGTCACTGTACAGTCTATAAACTAAGCTTGGAGTACAAAAGGACTAAAGGAGTTTCAGTGTAAAGGGACATAATGGAATCTATGTTGAGTTGAGTTAGAATAGCACATGGATGGACAGTGAGCTGCTGCTGCTGCCCTTCTCCTCACAATGCAGGCTCAGACACATTTCTCACTGCGGCGTGTCACCCAGATCCTGACCCTAACCCGCCTCTGATCCGCTCCCTGGAATGGACTCCGTTTACAATGATTTTAAACAGGTTGAATTTTCAGCCTGCAAAAATCTTTACTGGGGACTTGGTGTCCTCCGCCGTGCACACTGTTGCTTCAGAGGTTGTATTTACTTGTGCGGTGCAGAGGGGATTAGCTCTTTCCCACCAACAGGGGCTCCAGGGCTCCGGGACATTCCTGGAGGTCAGTGCAGGAGGATCTAGCTGTCTCCCAGGGAAACGGAGCCAATAAACTCCAGGGGTGGTCGTAAATGTTCCCATTATTTGGCCTGCGGCCCAGATGCAGGGGGCGGAGGGTGGCTGGGCGGGTGGGGGCTGCTGGACCTGCCCCCCCATCTGTCCTGGTCCTGCCTGTGGATGAGCAGTGAGCTGCTTCAAAAACCATCAGCAGGTTTACACTGAAGTGTGTGAATCTGTACATCAGTCAGTGTGTGGAAGACCTGCACAGTGTTTCCCTGTTGAGCCACAATGGTAACAATATGATCATTATAAAGAGACATCCCTTTGGAACACATTTCCTGATGAACCCTAATGTCTTCAGATAAACTTTAGAAATCATTTACACCAAAAATCAGGGGATCTGTGAATGGCCAGCAGAGGTGAGAGGAGTTCTCATATATTGTACTTGATTAAAAGTAGAAGTACTCAGATCTTGTAATTGAGTAAAAGTAGAAGTACTCAGATCTTGTACTTGAGTAAAAGTAGAAGTACCAGAGTGTAGGAATACTCTGTTACAGTAAAAGTCCTGCATTCAAAATGTTACTCAGTAAAAGTAGAAAAGCAGCATCTAAATATAGTGAAAGTAGCGACAGTAAAAGTAGTCATTGTGTAGATTGGTCCATTTCAGAATAATATATATGATATGTTTTATAATGATTGATCATGAAAGTGTTCTCAAAGCTGGTAAAGGTGCAGCTAGTTTGAATGACTTTGTATACTGCAGGGTAGCTTGTGGATTTACTCCAGGTGGAACTAAAGTCTGATTTAACACTTGATTATATTTCATATCATTCATCTACATCTGTAAAGTAACTACAGGTATTAAATACATGTAGTGGAGTGAAAGTACACCATTAACCTCTTTAAGTACAAAGTAGCACAACATTTAAATACTGAAGTCAAGTACAAGTCCCTCTAAATTGTAGTTGAGTATAGCACAGGCCAAATCTGTTTTAATGTTCTTTTAGTCATACCATTCATTTGACGCAGACTTGAACAAAACTTTAACATGTATCATCCATAGACTGATCATATCATATTATTCTAATATGAGAATTATAATAATAAGAGACAAATTATATGGTTAGGGCTAGTAGTTAGGGCTAGTACTATATGTTTCAGTGTCATCTTGAATCATCAAACACTGTTTTTGTTGTCATTTCAAAATTGTCTTATTACAGGAAAACAGTTTTTTTTATATTGCCAATAATTAGAATTCAAAAGACAGTACCCTTTGTGATCAGAAGATGTTTTGTTGATAACTTTTAAAGAGAGTCAGATTATTTTCTTACAGGGTGCTCCATGTAAGAGCTTGTGTCTCCGGACTGTGTCTCATGTCTTTTTCTCTCGTCAGTGAACGTGGTGGACTTCTGTGGTCAGAACATCCGCGGTGACGGCATGATCGTCAACTCGCACCAGGAGTCCAAGAAGTACTACTTTGTTACCATGGGGACGGACTGCCACCTCACCATGCAGGCCAGCTCGCCCAAAGACAAGGTCCAGTTCCACTTCCGCTTCTTCCTGGTCTACAGTTTGCTACGAGTGGCCCCCCTGAGCCCAGCCCCTCTCTTTCCAGAGTCCCCTCGTGGCTCCGCCCCTTTCAACCCCAGACTGGAGCCCACCTCCGGGGAGAGTCTGGGGGACCCGTGTCATGCGGGCTCATACGTTCAGTTCTACGATGGACGTGATAGGAGGTCGCCTCCTCTCGGGCCTCCTCTCTGTGGAAAGAGCCCCCCCCGGCCAGTGCTCTCCACAGGAAACTACCTGACCCTGAGGCTGGTGACCCGCGGGACTCAGCCCAGAGTGGACTTCGTGGGGGACTTCACCTCCTTCAGACTGGGTAACAGAGACACATGTGTCCATGTATTCTACAGATGCTGTCTTTACTTAGCATCAGTATTGTTGATGGGTTCGCCTGCACACATGTCCCCTACTGAGTCCATCTCGTCACACTAAGATCCTTCTTGTTTGTTTGAAAATGGAAATAACTAATGTCTGTCTTCCTATAAAACAGTTTGACTTGAGTTCAGCAGAGATAGAAGAAGTACTGAGACCTTGTACTTGAGTAAAAACATTTTACTCAAAAGTAAAAACATTTTACTCAAGTAAAAACATTTTACTCAAGTAACAGTAGAAAAGTATTAGCATCGAAATATAGTTAAAGTAGAAAAAGTACAAGTAGTCTTTGTGCAGATTGGTCCATTTCAGAATAATATATATGATATGTTTTATACAACCCGGTATCTCGGCAAGACGTGAAGATGTCACGATTTCGTCCCTTCAAACTTGACAGTTACACGGTATTGTTAACCCATGTTAACCAGTGGAGAAATAACCGGAAATGCCAAGCAAATGCTACCCCGACGGTCGGTTGTTATTGTCAATATTAATATAATAATGATTTATTTTTTAATAGTCACACTCGATTACGCCGATTTTCTTGTTGCCCCAGCTGGTCGACACCTCTTTTAGCAGAAACAAAGGCTACATTAATGTATTAAATCGATGTTAATTCATGCGTGTGGATGTGGAATTAACGGACGTGACGTTGTGCGATTGCGTTGCCAGGCAACAGCTTCGGTTCATGTTAATTTACAAACTCTTCAACTAGAACCGTAGTTATATTTAAAAACATTTTAGAAAGCCTGACGAAATACTTTAATGTAAATTAAAATGTAAATGTGAAGAAATGTGTGTATAACTAAATACATCCGTCATAAAAAATACCAGAAACAGACGTAGGCAAGGTCGTCAGCTCGGTGATTGGATGGTTTAGCCGCAATGCATGCTGGGAAATGGTGTTTATGCGATGTGAAATCCGAAAACATTTTTTTTTAAATAAAATAATACTCCGAGTGTGCTTGCTTTTCTCTTTGGAAGTCATCACATAACGGCTTTGTAATACACGGTTCGGCTGCATTAAATATTACATTTTTGCCGTAGTTCTTTATTTATAGAGCCCTGATGAGAAGACTTCTAGACAAACAGGAAGAAATGCCGCCAAAACTGAATATGTGACATGGATCATAAACATATAAACAATTAAACAACATCTTCAATTTCTCTTCACACAATACGACTCCTTGCAGTATCAACATTAATTCGGCTGACTTTTATATTTGATCCAATTGGTAGATAGGCTGTATTTACACCATAACGGTGCACAGCTGATAGAAAAGGACTTGTAGTTTTTAAAGATATTACTGATTTTCTTTGAATATAAGAATGTATATACTGAGTTGAGAGAATAGTCAGGGGTTTTGGGTGATCGGAGACACGTCTATGGAATCACAATTTCAATAGCTTACCATTAAATGACGGATATACCTTTCTGTCTGTGATGTTTTACAAATCAGATATTAATGTGTAGAAGTAAAACATGAGAAATAGTATAGCAATATCCTGTAAAATTATGTAAAAACATGAATAAAACTACACATCTTCAGATGTTATACATACATAAGTGTCCTACACTAATAATACAAAGTTATTATTAGTATGCTGTGTGTACCTTGTGTGCACCGCCTAGTGGTTAAAGCACGTTATTGAATTATTTTTGTTGAATAATGTTATTTGATGAAAATAATATTAAGAGTACATACTTTCATAGGGGGAAAGTAGAAGGTCAATGATAGAAACATAGAATATAAAAAATCAAGAAGATACTGTAAGTGATCTCTATAATAATACAGTTTAGTGCAAGATGTGCAAAGATATTAATATGAGGATGTGCAAAACAGACAAACTAATTAACCTTTATTAACACATTAAATAATACTTTAGATTAAGGTCTTCTTTTAAATAAGAAAAAACCTTTGGGGGTATCTACAGATAAATATTAAGCCTGACAAAGTACTTAACGTCTAATATATTGCTTTCCTGCAATGTTAACTATGTTGAAGCACTTATTTTAACTGATATTATACATATGAATTATACTCTTATGTATGTAGATAGTATAAGAAATGTGCAGAATACGACAGTTTAATGGTGGAGGTATACACACATATTGATAGATGTCTTGTAATGCGCTGTTGAGGAACCTGTGACCCAAGTGTTTCATTCATGTGTGTGTGTATATGATATGTCAATAAACCTTTGAAAATCTTGAAATCTTGAAAGGGATGTGCAAAATAGTCATTATATACAGTCTTTAATTAACTATTAGTAGAGAATAACGAGTAATGAATATACTTTATAGGGATCCTATTAATATCTAATAATAAGAATAATAAAATTCAATAACGTGCTTTAACCACTAGGTGTCCCTTTCTATCAGCTGTGCACCGTTATGGTGTAAATACAGCCTATCTCAATTGGATCAAATTTAAAAGTCAGCCGAATTAGTGTTGATACTGTAAGGACGTATTGTCGTAAGTGTGTCTAGAAGTCTTCTCAGCAGGGCTCTATAAATAGAGAACTACGGCAGATATGTAATATTTAATGCAGCCGAACCGTGTATTACAATGCAGTTATGTGATGACTTTCAAAGAGAAAAGCAAGCACACTCGGAATAAAGTATTATTTAAAAAAAAATGTTTTCGGATTTTACATCGCATAAACACCATTTCCCAACGTGCATTGCGGCTAAACCATCAAATCACCGAGCTAAGGATCTTGCCTACGTCTGTTTCCGGTATTTTTTATGACGGATGTATTTAGTTATACACACATTCCTTCACATTTACATTTAAATTTGCATTAAAGTATTTCGTGAGGCCTTCTAACATGTTTTTAAATATAACTACGGTTCTAGTTGAAGAGTTTGTAAATGAACATGAACCGAAGCTGTTGCCTGGCAACGCAATCGCACAACGTCACGTCCGTTAATTCCACATCCACACCATAGACTATAGCAGGGGTGCCCAACCAGTCGATCGTGATCGACCGGTCGATCGCGGGGAGATTCCCAGTCGATCGCGAGATGTGTCTAAAAATAGAACAACAACATTCTGTTGTATCGTTAATGTCCTGTAACATAATCTTCCTGTCCAGAATAATGCACATGAACGCATCAAAGCTTTGTGATTGGCCGGCGAGACCCCATGTGTCGGGGCGTGGCTGGTGGGCATTGGGCAGTATTTCGCTGATGTTGTCCGTGTCAACAGGAGTGACAGTCCGCACACACACAAGACCGCAATTATGGCAGAAGCAAAAAAGCCCAAAATATATAATTTTCACTCCGAGTGGGAGGATGATTATTTTTGTATCTATTCCAATTCAAAGTCCATCTGTCTCTCATCTGCAATGCGAGCATGGCTTTATCGAAGAAGGGTAATTTAGGAGCGGCATTTCAAAACAGTGCACAAACGCTACGAGACGGAATTCCCTCCTAATTCTGCCCTACGCTCCCAAAAGGGGAGGGGCCTGAAAGGACAGCAGGGGAGGGACCTGAAAGGACAGCAGTCCATTTTCACCAGGCCCAACAACAAGAGCAAGGCTGCTACCAGAGCATCTTATCGTGTCAGTCATGTTCTTGCGAAACACATGAAGTCTTTCAAAGACGGCGAAGTTGTGAAAGAAGCTTTCCTGGAGGCTGCCGACGCGGTTTTGGGGGACAGTAAACATAACAGTAGCATTTCAACAGGTTTTTGATATAATAAAAACTCAAGTTGGATACCGTTATTAATCAGCTGTAAGTTTTAGTTTGTTTGAACTTATTCATTATAATTATTGTACAAAATGGTATAAGAATGCAAACATTCAGATCTGTTCTGTTTAAATTGATTATAGTCTATCAGTTCAGAAACTAGTGTTGCTTGCATCCTATTTTAAAGGCATTTATTTTTATACTCTACTAAAATGCAACAAAAAAAGGGTTTGATTCTATTAATTTTGTCTTTTTTATTGCACTGTTGCAGCAGATTACTGTGTAGCTTCAGATCTGAGTTGTCTTATTAGTAAGCCTCATTTATACTTTTGTAGCAACACTATTTTTATATAATGGCAAAGAAAGGGTTCAGAGTATTTTCTTGTTTTCCTGTGTCATATGTGGCAGCACGGTTCAATGTTTCTTAAACATTACCCACTGTAGTGACGTGTGAATAAACTCCAACTCCGTATCAACAACACTGTTGTGTAACTTCAGTTAAATACTTGTATGTGTGTAGATTAGAAAGAGGTAAGATAAAGGATCTGCAGTATTTTATGAAGTATTCATCGTACAAAGGTCAGTTTTATACAAGTAGAAGTGTGTATTTACCTGGTAGTAATGGCTACGCCTCTCTATTTGGACTGGTAGATCTCGGCAGACTGGCAACTTTAAAAGTAGCTCTCGGTTCAAAAAAGGTTGGGCACCCCTGGACTATAGGCTTGCTTGAGACGCGTTGCGGCTCGCCTCGAAAGTAGACGAGAATAGCCGATCGCAGCCGGGGGAGGTCTCAAAAAGCTCGCCTGAAGTCGGACAGCTCGGAGTCGGCTTCTTCTTCTCGGATTGCAAACAACTTTAAGGTGCATACCGCCACCTCCGGAGTCGGCTTGACTCGGTTTGCATTTATAAAGAATGCACACATGTGTTTAATCGTTAATGTCAGATATGTAGGCTACTAAATAAATACATTAGTTCCTGCTCAAGATTAGATTCAACTTTATTGTTATTGCACATATTACATGTAGCCTACTGAGACAACAAAATGCAGTTTAGCTTCTAACCAGGTGTGCAATAAGCAGTGAAGTGAAAAGTAATGTACACAATCTACAGAATAAAATATAGAATGAATTGAATGATGAATAAACAGTGAGGGGTATGAATACACTAGATATCAGCCTGTGAGCAGTATGAACAGTGTGTATGAATGTGCTAAGATATATAAAGTATGAAAACGGTAAGCAGTGCAAGTATAGTATAACATATATAGATATTCATTTCATGATGATAAACATTGTGGAACAATTATGAAAAATGTTAATGGAGGGGGCGACGTAAAACTGACACAAAACAACAACAAACTTTTGCCGAGCCAATTAGAGAGTTTCATCAGCAGCACGTGGAAAAAACCACCAATGAGCGCTCTGCTCGAGATACCAGCGAGTCGTTTCCCATCAAACATTTCGCTTCCGCAGCCCGTGGAGAGGAACTGCGCCGCCTCGCCGCGCCTCGCTCTCAAGGCTGCGGGCGTCTTTGTCCCGCGAGATTTCAACGTCTCATGTAGGCGAGCCTCCAGAGCAAGTCGGACAAAATGACTAACCATCATGCAACGCACTAGCAAGACGTTGATCGAAATTGCGCAGGTCTCGCTTGTCTCAAACAAGCCTTATATCAGTGACCACCAACTGGCGGCCCGCGAGCCACATCCGGCCCGCCAGACATTCTCATCCGGCCCGCACGACGGGGGTGACTGTGGCGCTGGCGGAGCAGTAACCACTGTGTGCAGTACCGGAGTCCAACAGAGAGGCAGCAGCTGCGGGACAGTAGACTGCGTACTGCGAAACCTTCCCTGCCTTGAAGAAGAAGTGATCCTTCGTTGTGAAGAGTTGTGTTTTGTGCGCTCCGCACCACAGCAGTAGCCACGCTGCGACAGAGTCCAACAGAGAGGCAGGAGCTGCGGGACAGTAGCCTAGAAGCAGGGTTGGGTTGTAACGGAATACATGTAACGGCGTTACGTAATGAGAATACAAAAATCAAGTAGGCTAACTGTATTCAGCTGGCGTTACATTTGAAAAACGAGTAATCTGATTACAGTTACTTTCGTAAACCTGAAGTGAATACATTTTGGAATACTTTTTGGAATTATTGGTGGAAAAGTTTCCTCACAAAAAGTAATATTCATTTCCGGTAGAACTGTGTGCACATTGCACGGCGCTGCAGCATGTCTGAGCGAGAGAGATATGCTGCAATCAAAGTGAATGGCCTGCTGCTGCTGAATGCATGGGGCAAGTGACTGGAACAAGTTATTATATCGTTTCAGATAATAAATAATAATGATAATTCATTCTATTTAGGGGCGCCTTTCAAAGCACCCAAGGGCACCTTACAATTCATAACATATTCCAAGGAAAGGTTTTAAGACAGTAAAGAATGCAGTCCGGGTGATGTTTTTTATGTGGGGTGCAGATGAGAGGGAGCTGTCCAGAATGACACCAAGATGTTGTGTTTGAGTTCTTGATAAGCCATTAAAACAATAAAACAAGTGTCTCCTGTTCACCAAAACTGTATTCTGATTACTTTCAGAGCATGTATTCAGTAACTGATTACATTTACAAAGTAACCCTGCCTAGACGGATTAACGGATTAACATCGATTTAATACATTAATGTAGCCTTTGTTTCTGCTCAAAGAGGTGTCGACCAGCTGGTGCAACAAGAAAATCGGCGTAATCGAGTGTGACTATTACAAAATAAATCATTATTATATTAATATTGACAATAACAACCGACCGTCGGGGTAGCATTTGCTTGGCATTTCCGGGTATTTCTCCACTGGTTAACATGGGTTAACAATACTGTGTAACTGTCACGTTTGAGGGGACGAAATCGTGAGTTTAAAGCGATCAAGTCATATTACAGGATAGAGGAAATAGAGAACAACTGCCGTTGCAGGAAAGACGGCCGGCAAAATCACAGACTGTGTGAACGTGAACATGAATAGAATATCACCTCCATCTTCAGAGCAATCTGACTATTATAACATTAGCGTTAAGAAAGCTTACTGAAATATCTGCCACAACATAAGTAACCGGATCAGAGTCACATTAAGTACAGTCCGCGGCATATCACATCATAATGTATCATATATCTCCTTATCTGAGTCAGCTGAGCCGTATCTGGCCGTGCAACACTCACAGTGTCACATACTGTATGCAGAAGTATTATTTAAAGCAACACATTAAGTTGACGAAACACTCGAGTCAAATGTAATGAAAGTCAGATGGTGTCTTAGACGGGGCAGTGATATCATAAACCTGTTAATGTACGCATTCAAACACTTGTTCTGTTACCAGCTGTATTCACCTTGCAGGTGCAGCTCTGTGGCTTTGATCCTGGATCAAGTGTTTAAGTCATGGATGTTTAAAGTTTAACTTCTTCATATGTCTAATATTATAGTTGACTTTTCATTCAGGAAGTATGACGTTGCGCTGTCAGTACGCTTCTCCATGTTTGTGATTGGTCAAATGTTGCTAACCCCGCCCCTTTCATGTGAACGCGCACATAACTACATAGGGCAAAGCTGGCTTGACTTAACGAGTTGATAACCAGCGTCGTAGAACCGTTTAGCGAGAGCGCGTTTGTTTTGGATTAGGTAAGCCGGGTAACTCAAACATATCCAGGTTATGTTGAACCGGCTTCGTCGTACAGGCCTCTGGTGGAACTTAAGTCTGATACACCACTGAAACTCAGTACGCCATGAAAACATACTTGGAGGTTCTTTATCTGGACGAACCTTGCCCCAGAGCATGTTACATTAATGCTGCCTGATAGTACAGCTGTATGTTCACAGTAGCATTTAGTACACAAAACACATCTGCACTGGACTAGTAACAAACCTTCTAGTGCTTGAAGCTCTTAAATATGTATAGACTATTGGTAAATAGCTACCGTGGATGCAAACAAATGCTGGTGGTAAAGCATTTATCATGTTTGTTAGCCCTCAAGAACAACAGTTTTTGTTTACCTATAAGCAGCCATAATTCATTTTCCTTTAAATTGAAATCTAAGAGACTCTTTAAACTTTGATTGCAGCACTAACGTTTTTAAGCTAACACGGATCCTTCGTCTTTTGTCCAGGTTTTAACCAATCAGAGTGCAGCAATGAGCCCTATTTCACCTGCAGAAATGGGAAGTGTATCCCTCTCAGTCTGGTGTGTGATGAAAAAGGCATTGACAACTGTGGGGATGGAAGTGACCTGGAGGAGAACCTGACTACGGGCTGCAAAGGTCAGTGGAATGATGATATGAGATTTGTGATGCTGATATTTATAAATAAAAAAATACTCCTTGATTTTCTTATATTTCCACGCTGAAAATATTATGAATGCTTCAGGACTAAGGTTTGAAAACTAGTTTTAGGGGTGTTGTTACAGTTCCACAACATTTAAATGTTGACCCAAATATGTCCGTCATCAGCAGGTCAGCTTTTACCTCCTGAACCTCCACCGCCAATAGCCACCCCCCACCCACCGTTTGTGAAGCCCCCCACAGCGCCGGTTCCTACACGCATCAACTGTGGAGTGCCTGACAGCGCTCCCAGCCATGAGTCTGTAACCGGTGAGTAACTATTGTCATATTGTTATTCATTCCACTAGTACAGTGCTTCTCAAAGTGTGATCCGCGGAGCACTGGTGGTCCGTGAGTATATTGGTAAAATTTCACATTTGAAATAAATAAATTTATTTAAGTTTTTCACACTCTCGCGGGAATATCTCCGCAATGGAACAAGCTTAAGTTTCACTTTCGATTGCATGATATAGCCCAGATAAACACCTTCATCACACATGTTGCCACTTGTTTGTACCATCTTCAGGCGATTTGTAAAAAACGATGTGTTTTTGGATATAAATGTGGAGTTAGTTGGTCCGCGAGTGTTTTTTTATTGGTTAAGTGGTCCTTGGTATGAAAAAGTTTGAGAAACACTGCACTAGTAGAACCCCTGTGTGATCAGAGGTGGGAGAAGTACTCAGAACTTGGACTAAAGTAAAAGTACAAGTGCCAGAGTGTAGGAATACTGTGTTACAGTAAATGTCCTGCAATGAAAATGTTACTCAAGTAAAAGTAAAAAAGTATTGGCATCAAAATATATTTAAAGTACCAAAAGTATTGTGTAGATTGGTCCATTTCAGAATAATATATATGATATGTAATGATTGATCATGAAAGTGTTCTCAAAGCTGGTAAAGATGCAGCTAGTCTGAATGACTTTGTATACTGCAGGGTAGCTGGTGGATTTACTCCAGGTGGAACTAAAGTCTGATTCAACACTTGATTAGATTTACCATCATTCATCCACATCTGTGAAGTAACTAAAGGTATTAAATACATGTAGTGGAGTAGAAGTACACCATTTACCTCTGAATTGTAATGGGGTAGAAGTACTAAGTAGCATAAAATGGAAATACTCAAGTAAAGTACAAGTACCTCAAAATTGTACTTAAGTACAGTACTTTAGTAAATGTAGTTACTTTACACCACTGTATGTGATGCACTATGCTCATGTCCGGCAGTTTGTGGGTTGGTAAACAAATGAACTAAGTGCCCATTAGGATGCAAAGTGTCCTGATGGCTGGGGATAAAAACTAATGGAGGTGACCATTGAGTTGCTAATTTCCTGTGAAGCCTTGTAAACCAATAAACAGTGATGGATTCTCTGAGCAGAGAGCAGTGCTCCGTCTCTGTTCCAGCAGCAGAGGTGCAAACAGCCCGGGCCAGCCCGCCAGCTTCTGATTACTTTAGGGCCCGGCCAAGTCTGGCCTAAGAAAACCGCTTTTATTTCGTTCTGATTGTGCAGTTGAGTTTTGGAGAAAGGGATTCACATTTGCCTGCTTTGTAAACTGCCAGCTGTTTATTAGCTGAGATGCATGTCAGTGCACTCAGCCCACAGTGAGGCTGGATGATTGTTAACTGAGGTTGAATTACTTTTATTTTCTAATTACTGAAAATGAATTACATGTAAACAGTCAGGGGTCTCCATGCATATGAACATGTATTGTTTATTTACTAGTCTGTAGGCAGTGGTGTAAAGTAACCAGTGTTGGGACTAACAGGCTACAAAGTAACGCGTTACTTGGCAGTAACTAGTACTCTAACACATTACTTTTTCAATTCAGTAACTCAGTTACCGTTACTACATGGTGCGTTACTCCGTTAGTTTTTTTATTTAGTCAACAGCCAGGCGAACAGAGATGAGAACTGTACTTAAGTACTTGAGTAAATGTACTTAGATACTTCCTGTGTCACATGCGGAGACGGGCTGTGGGCGTGTTTGTGTTGTTTACTAACAAGACTGTCATGGCGGCGGAGGAGCTCAAGTCTAGTTTCTCCACCTGGAGATATTCTCACTATTTCACTTTTGTCGACCACAAAGAAAAGAACGTTTTAGTTAAATGTAAGTTGTGTCTTGGCGGGTCAAAGAGCCTAACTACTGCCCAAACCAGTCATTAAAATCTCTTAAAACATCTGCAAAAACAACATGCTGGGACGAAGCTAGTAGCTAAGACCACAGAGACTCAGCCGACGCCACTCCACCTCCACCTAAGCAACAGCGGCTGGATTTTAACCAAGGGACTGCTAGCCAGGGAAAAGTCGATAAAGCCATTGCACGGTATGTTGTAGAACACATGCAGGCTATTGCTACAGTGGAGTCACCCGCTTTCAGGGAGCTAGTTAGCATGATAGCATGTCCGGGCGGCACACGGCATATGGGACGGAAAACTACCTGGAGAAAGAATATACAAAAATGGAAAGCCAGCTAATATCGATGCAATCCAGATTGCATATAATGCATGTCAAGTTGATCAACAGATTGTATTATTCTCCAATGCAATAACAGTACTGAAATGAAGGATATAAGGGCATTAATGGGAGCCCTTTTTTTAAGTAACTAAAAAGTTACTTTTTGCAGTAACGCTTTTTTTTTCTTATGTAGCCTAAGTAATCAGTAAAGTCACTGAGTTACTTTTGAAATGAAGTAACTAGTAATGGTAACTAGTTACTGGTTTTCAGTAACTAGCACAACACTGAAAGTAACTATGTAGATTTACTCAAGTTATTTACAGTACCATTTTGAGGTACTTGTACTTCTACCCCACTATAAATATTGTACTTTTCCTCCACTACATGTATTTAATACCTTTAGTTACTTTACAGATGTGGATGAATGATGTGAAATATAATCAAGTGTTAAATCAGACTTTAGTTCCACCTGGAGTAAATCCACAACCTACCCTGCAGTATACAAAGTCATTCAAACTAGCTGCACCTTTACCAGCTTTGAGAACACTTTCATGATCAATCATTATAAAACATATCATATATATTATTCTGGGTAACACTTTATATTAAGGTACACAAATTAAGCATCAACTACTTGTTTGCGCCTCCCCTGAAGCTCTCTGGCGCCCCCCAGGGAGGTGCGCCTCACACTTTGAAAACCGCTGGCCATTAGTTGAGAGTTTTTCCTCAATAACCCTCTAATTAGTGCTTATTTATTGCAAGTAAGGAAGTTGTTGTACATGAGTTTTGGTCTTAATATGCTCTTCTCAATATGGGCCTAATAAGGCAGTAGTACCACAAGAATAGTAATTCTCCCACAATAACACTTAACAAATATGATCTATTCTTATGTAACAAGACATGAAACTATTAGTGTTAATTGTGTCTAAATAACTCAAAATGTGGTATCTAAGAATATGTGTTGGGTAGGGGTGTAACGGTTCACAAACATTTCGGTTCGGTACGTACCTCGGTTTTTTGGTCACGGTTCGGTTCGGTACGTTTTCGGTACAGCAGAATTTTTTTTCACAGAACAAAACATATATATATATTTTTTATTATTATTAAACTGTGAATAATGTATTCACTCAAATAAATACAAAATATAATAAAATAAACATTAAGGTGCAGCATTTCGATGAACTGAAATCATCTGTATTTGAACTTTACTGTAGGCTACTAGTACTCACAAAACATAAACTATTAGTTTTGGGTTTTTAATTATTATTAAACTGTGAATATTCACTCAAATAAATACAAAATATAATAAAATAAACATTAAGGTGCAGCTTTTCGATGAACTGAAATAATCTGTATTTGAACTGTACTGTACTAGTACCTAAGCAGCCAGTTTGACATTATGACTTGCTTGTCATTGTATTTTCATGTTTTTTTAAAGAAAAATTAACTTGTCCACATTGCTTGCCGAAAGGGCAGATCTGCTGGCACTAACAATGTCTCCTGCTGTGGAGAACACCCTCTCGCTAGGGACAGAGGTAGTAGCAGATACAGCCAGGTAGCGCTTTGCTAACATGGCAACATAAGGATATTTGGCGTTTGTAATAGCTTTGGCTCGGACTGATCTTTTTGCGAGTGGTGGAGGCTTAAATGCTAGCGGGAGTTGGGTTTGCACTTCAGTCTTTTTTCTTTTGGTACCGGTGATATTCACGTTCGGGTGATGCCTTTTCAAGAGTGTGCAAGTTTGATGTATTGCCAGCTGCGTAACCAATTTTAGTTGAACAATGCCGACAAACAGCTTTGGTTCGGTCCACCTGTCTTTGTCCTTCATCCTTGTACGTAACTGCGAAACCAAAATGTTCCCAAACCGGAGACTTCAATGATGCTGGAGGATTTTCGAGCTCAACTTTATCTGCGTTCGCCATTAATTTTCGACAGTTCCTCAAATTACTGACTATATTTGAACGCATCCCTCTGACCAGCTCTCATAGTATGCCTCTCATCCAATGAAATGACTTGCTCGCTCTATGACGCGTTGAACCCAATGTGAGCAAATGACTCTGAATGCTGCGACGCAGCACCTGAGATTACTTCCAAAAAGTTGTTCACGTTCTCAATTTTTTACGTTTAACGTTATATTCGTTCGGTACACTTCGGTACACACCTGTACCGAACCGAAGGGCCCGTACCGAATAATTTCGGTACGGGTACGTGTACCGTTACACCCCTAGTGTTGGGGTATAGACAGTTCAGCTACCAATAGCAAGGTGATATTGACCTGTATGTTTCATATTTGCACATTTACAGTGTAAGGAATCGGATTAGTAACATGTATTGTGTTTATGTGATGACATTTGGAGATGTTTAAACTAAGGTGACCAGATTTTCAAAATTAAAACCGGGGTCATTTTGAGTTTTGCGGTCAATATATCATTAACATATCCAATTTTCTTCACTGTTAAAGAAAAAAGGGGGACAATTCTGGTTTAATGTATTCGAACATTCGAACTGTTGGATACAAACAGAAGGAAGATAGATTCTCTCTGAGTGATTAGATGGGGTGTCCTGCTATCACCCTGAAGTGAAATAAGTCTTTGATACTGGATAATTTGACAGTTTTTTAAATTTATTCTTGTATAAAAACAGAAGGACGATAGCCCATATATGAGATTTCAAAAGTATTTTATTTTGAAACTCTACATCAGATTGTCCAGATTCTCTGTGAGTGACTAGATGGGGTCTCCTGCTATCACCCTGAAGTGAAATAAGTATTTGATTGACTTGAAATGACTCTTTGATTATGGACAGTTTCCATTAAATAA